TTTTTTTGCACATCAACTTGCCAGGAAAAATTAAAATTTCTTTTTGACACAATTTCAAACAAAGAACAAACCTCGGGCAAGATTGATAAATTATTTTTCACGTTGGTCAGTTTCCAGTGTGGTAATAGTATTCCAAATTCTCTCTTTATATATAATGCATATGTGCACTGTCATACCGAGGAGTGAAAATTTTGAATTCTGTTTAAACTGCCTCAACAGTGATCAAATAAGTGATAATAAATAAACATCAGTTTTGAAGTTATTAGAATTAATTTTATTTTTATATTTAATATGTATTTTTTCATTTTTTTTAAGCTCGCCTCATTTAGTAGAAGTACGTGAAAGAATTCGTATAAACGGCTTACCATTGAAAAAGGATGATTTCAGTAGATATTTTTTTAATGTCTACAACAAATTGGAATCTACCAAAGATAAGTTCAATGGGTCTATGCCTGCTTACTTCCGATTCCTGACCATTATGGCCTTCCATGTCTTCATGAGAGAAAAAGTAAGTATCACCATGCCTTGCTGTGATGATGAAAAAATGATTACGTGTGCAGTAAAAACGTGTTTGCTAATCATACAATGTACAAGAACAGAATAACATGGTGCAAGTATGGAGACAGGTGTCATACCTCTCTTCTACAATGTTTTTGATTTAACTCGAATCTTTTATTACTTCTGTAGGTTGATGTTGCCATTGTTGAAGTAGGTATCGGCGGCGCCTATGACTGCACTAATGTTGTACGGTATCCCATAGTGACGGGTATCAGCTCTCTTGGGATGGATCATACAAAAGTATTGGGGGACACACTCGATAAAATTGCGTGGCATAAGACCGGTATATGTAAGGTGAGACCCTTTAGTTCTGCCTGAGAATATCATCCCTTTGGGGAAATGTATTTGTGGCATAGAATTTGCTCCTTTCTATGTCTGTTAGGGGTGATCTCGTATTCAAACACGCGGGTCAAACCTACGAAAACCTAAACCGCCCGAACAAAACCCAGTTTTGTGGTTTGGAAGTTTAAACAATAGACAGTGCGGTTCAGGACGACCGCACGAATTTGCATAAAAACTGCGGTTCGAACCGATCTCATTCAAGCTGTTGTTTATTTTTAGGATTGACAGAGTTTACATTGCTTTTTGAAGAATAGATAGTTGTCTCTAAAAATGTGGTGATTTATTGGTGTACAGTAGTCATTTTACTGTGTGTCTTGCCTAAAAAAAAACACTCTTTCAAATATCGGTGAACAGCGTGCTGAGTAAATTGTTTTGTTTTGATAAACTGTTATGTTCGAGTCGCAAATTGAGCAGAGGACGTGAATCAGACTTTTCATTGGGCTGGACAATTGATATGTGTCTCTGACAGCTAATAAGTATCAGAAGATGAACATTTGTTGATACAAAGTTGCACTTGAGACTTACGCTACTGTGTTCAAGCCTTTACTACTGTTGCGCGTTCAATTTTCAAACAGTACTTTCATGAGTGCGTCATCGCAAAATCGGAAAAACAAATGCAGCTTACGCCATGAAAATTTATTTCGATTTGCTGCACCTCTGAAAATACCTTATTTATAGAGTGCCTTGTACCTAAGACCGTCGCCCAAGGCGACACAGTGCACGTTGCGATATCGCAATCGATGCATGCTAGGTGACAAGAAGCAATTCTGATTGAGGTAACCAAGATGGCTGCGTTGAGTGCATGATTTTCTGCGGTGAATTTAAAAACAACACCTCGCTGCCTACTTCTCCCACAGTCCCTCAAGGCACTGTACTTCGATATATTTCCTAAAATAATTGTTTATTTTTAATTAACCGGGGGTTTGAAATGTGTGCATTTTGTCACAGAAAAGTAAGATATCGGTAAATACCCGTAATTTCCCCGCAATGTCGTCAGCTGACAATGTTACGGTGGTCGTAGCACCGGAGTCGTAGCGTTAGCCCCGACTTTAGTTTTCACACAGTGATAGAGGGACTGTGGTTTTCAGATGCCTTCATAGAAAACAATGTTGCCATTATCGATTTAATACTTTCATCATATTTTGATAACGCGCAGTCTCGCAGACTTTACAAACTTAACCAAAAAATGTGTTCTATGAATTTATGAACTGACATGGGCACAAAACTGATCGTACTTGTACAAAATGTACCAGTTCGCTTAATGGATAAACATATTTTACTGACTATGCCAAATATATATATAACGTAAGTAATTTATCCTAAGAAGCTGCTCATTTAAATTCTAGTGCATTTTTACCCTGTTCTGTTTCAAACATTTATTTACCCACAGTCCCTTTATCACGATAGAGGAACTGTGATTTACCATATATATCCACAATAGAGAGGGTCTATGGTATCACTTGATTCACATTCAATGACAAAATATAACAAACCATCACGTCTGTAATTAATTCCAGATAAATTGAATAACAATTGTGTTGACTTGTACCAAAATGTAAGTTGTGGGAAACTGATTATTATTACCAATCACAGAAATGTATAAATATAATTTTCATCACACTTATAAATGACATGATGTAAATAGATTTGTGAAACAAATGCAAGTTTGTTTTTTATTAGCCATTTACATGTACAAGACTTGCAAATGACAGATGACAGTGCTTTCATTGACGACGTTTTAACTTGATTACATATACGGTACTGTGCATTGTTTGGTATCTTCAAACCATTGTGCAACTGCATACTGCTGTTCTATTCTAATTGTAATAAACAGTGTAATCAACTGACATATAATCAGCAAATGATCTGTTACGGCCATCCACAGGGTGAACAAAAATTATGCCTTATCCTCTCAAATCAATTTATTTTTCCTCAGCCGGGACGACCAGCATTCACAGTGTTACAGCCTAAAGAGGCCATGGATACCGTCATAACCAGAGCTACAGAACTACAGGTAAAATTTCACAATGGATCCTGCCATCAATCAACTCATCTGTTCATTTCTCCTCTGGGTGGCTCCTTTAGTTTCTAAACTATTTCACCTTTTCACCACGAGTTCCCTCTTCTCGCAAATTCACAAAATAGTCCTGTCTGCACTTTCCTTCTGAAATTTGGAACAAAACACTAGGCAGAGGGTTTTCAACCTGCCTATTCACCTAGTTCATACCCACTGTAGACTCCAGTCAGTCAAAATGAACTGTAGGCATTAATCTGCGATTCAGCCAATGAGGGAGAGAGAAATCTAGGTCTTTCTTTCTGTTTGGCATGGGCATGTGATCATGAACTTGTTGAATAAACATCAACTGATAAAACACGTCAAAATGAAGCTTTGGTTCAGTGCTATTTTCATTATACATGGTTGACAGGCACCAATTCAGCTTACACCTGATTTGAGTAACTATGATTGGCAAGGGAGACCTATGGAGCTTGGCTTAGCTGGTGAACATCAACAAAGCAATGCATCTTTAGCAATACAATTGTGCAGAACTTGGATTGAGGAACATAAAGCATGTGAGTAGAGACGTTTGTTTTGAATTCCATGATGATTTTTTTTTCAATATATAAAATTATGTAGATTTAATTTTGGGAAAGTTGGCATGAAATATGTTGATTGGCGTCTTGAATTAAAATTCAATTATGAATTTTGCATAAGAAGTGAATTTGTAATGATATTTCTAGATTGAAATGCTGTCAAATCTGAATAGATAATGAGATATTACAAGCATTGTAGCTAGGCATATAGTGAGTGGAATGTCACATAGATGTCTATGACATCCCATAGTGTGTGATGTTTGCATAAATCTGAATAGATAATGAGATATTACTAGCACTGTACCTAGGCATATAGGTAGTGGAATGTCACATAGATGTTTATGACATCCCATAGTGTGTGATGTTTGCATAAATCTGAATAGATAATGAGATATTACTAGCACTGTACCTAGGCATATAGGTAGTGGAATGTCACATAGATGTTTATGACATCCCATAGTGTGTGATGTTTGCATAAATCTGAATAGATAATAAGATATTACTAGCATTGTAGTTAGGCATATTGTGAGTGGAATGTCACATAGATGTCTATGACATCCCATAGTGTGTGATGTTTGCATAAATCTGAATAGATAATGAGATATTACTAGCATTGTAGCTAGGCATATAGTGAGTGGAATGTCACATAGATGTCTATGACATCCCATAGTGTGTGATGTTTGCATAAATCTGAATAGATAATGAGATATTACTAGCATTGTAGCCAGGCATATAGTGAATGGAATGTCACATAGATGTCTATGACATCCCATAGTGTGTGATGTTTGCATAAATCTGAATAGATAATGAGATATTACTAGCATTGTAGCTAGGCATATAGTGAAT